ATTAATAAGTTGGTCCTAGATGTACAAATGAATTCAAAACTAACTTCAAGAAGGTAAGTCACAGAGATGAAAATAGCCTTGTTCGGTAGCTACTACTTTAAATACACTCAGAATGAAAATAATATCTATTCTACTGCAACAAGCACCTACTATATAATGACTTAGATTCCACATAGAAAACCATAATATTCTCTCTAGGAGCAAGTATTGAAAGAGAAAACAAGGTCCAGAAAAATCCCTGCAATTCGGTAAAAGTTAGATGACAATAAAATATTGTATGTCCTGATTCCCCCCTGAAATGTAAACATCATAACAGGTCAGAACTTGTCTCACATGCAGAGAACAGTGTCTGTCATTTATTTTGTCAATGAAAATGTTTCAATGAATGAATGGCTTTAGTATCTCACTTATCTTTCTTACCAAGTCACTTCACTATATATTTCCCACCTACACGTTGATAGGCAACTTTAATGTGGTTAGTGGCCTTCCAAGTGACCTTGAGTGTTTTATATTGAGACAATAATGAGCTTGTTCTCTGGAGCTGTCAGTCATTGCATTGCTAGTCCACCTGACCTTCCACTAACAAAATATTTTATAGTTAAATTTACTTCAACATATTACAAAAATCCTGAAATGCAAATAGAAGTATTCCCATTTTATAAAATTTTAAAACATGTTCAGGAGATAAATGAGTCAGCTCACAACTGGGATTGAACCCAGTACTGTAAGACCAAAATTCTTTCAACTCTGCCAAAATTAACTTTTTTCCCCTTTTCAGCCAACCCCCGCTCCTATACATACTTCATTTATTCTATTTCATCCATTTCAATATCGTTTTTCACTCACTTGTTTGCCCCTCTTTTAACATGTAGCTTTCTCAAGGCAGGAACTATGTCTTACTCTTCATTGTGTTCCTTCCATTAATGTGATTTGTTAGAAGGACACTCAAAGATAAAAGGAAGACAGGAAACTCTCTATCAACCAGGCCCACAGAGACTGCAACACATTTAGGATACCACACATCTCACCAGGTTAGTTTTGCTCCTTCAACTGAACTTGCCTCTAACTCCCTTTTCTAGTGATCTACCACTGTGGCGACCGGTTCAGCCCCTTCCATTCTGTGTGTGTGTCTTTTACCCAGGCTCCCAGGCCAAGCCAGGCAAGAGGCTGTTGCCTGGCCCACATGTGCTCTGAAAAGGCAACTTTCATTAGGCAAGGAATTTCTGCAATTACCTGGGAGCCCAGAACTATGTTTCACAGTTTCATTGAGGTTCATACAGTCACCTACATTGTGCTGCTTAAAAGGATGATGTCATTTCATGTTTCTTCCAAAACACCAATGCACAGGCATTTCCTGGAAGGTGAAGGCTCCTGACAGGGCTCAGGATTTCACAGGGCCTGACAGTAACACTTGCCGATTCCTCCATGGAGACCTGCACACAAAGTGAGGGGATTTGGTGGGCCTGGCTACTGGTACCCACGTCAGTAGAGCCAGCTGAGCAGAAAGCAGACATGTACCATTGGAAGCTTCCATCAACCATGGCTTATTTCTGCTAGATATGAACCCTGGGATCTAGCATTGCAACTGCCCTGGCCTAAAAATGTCAGGGACAGCAAAAGGATGAAAAGGAGCTTACACTCGAGGATTCTTAGAGCTACCTTGAGTTGTTGCTTATCCTTCAGTTGAGCTGGTCTCTACAGAGAGAACAAGAACAAGGTAAAATGAACACAAAGCACTTTATCTTTTTAAACTAAGACAAATCCATAGTTGATCTGGCTACTTTCAAGTCTTTAAAAGTGATTTACTAGTACTTTTCTATGTCAAGGGTGCTATGAACGCGCATTCTAATGCACAGAAGAAAACTCTCCTTTCACTCTTCCTTCCTCTTTACAAATGTACAGAGCATTTGCTGTGCCTATCACTTTCACATTTGTGATTCTATTTGGCATTTGAAAAGGCAGAAGCTAGGGTAGTTTTTCAAAGTCACACTACTGGAAAACAACATAGGCCCAGCGCAGTGGCTCACGCCTGTAATCCTAGCACTCTGGGAGGCCGAGGCGGGTGGATTGCTTGAGGTCAGGAGTTCGAAACCAGCCTGAGCAAGAGCAAGACCCCATCTCTACTATAAAAAGAAAAAAATTAATTGGCCAACTAATATATATATAGAAAAACTTAGCTGGGCATGGTGGTGTGTGCCTGTAGTCCCAGCTACTTGGGAGGCTGAGGCAGTAGGATTGCTTGAGTCCAGGAGTTTGAGGTTGCTGTGAGCTAGGCTGACGCCACGGCACTCACTCTAGCCTGGGCAACAAAGCGAGACTCTGTCTCAAAAAAAAAAAAAAAATCAGAGCCAAGGCTCATAGTCAGTTCTTCTGCCTCCAAGTCTAAAGAATTTATTTCTAAACAACATTGTTTTTTATGAAGCCAAATTACAACATAAGGCTACATATCCATTGTAGAATATAAATTGACTTTGAAAATGTACACTGTTTTAAGAAACTTACACCAGTTTCATTGCTACTATAACAATAGTCTTCAAATTCGGGTGCATATTTTGCTGAAATGCATGAGCACTTCAAAGGGTACAAGTGCACAGTTCTAAAGGATTCACTTTTCCAGATCCTCAGCTTCCGTGTATATATGTATATGAGTCAACCTTAGCATACACCTGAGCCTCACTTATCAAGCTGGTTCTCCTCTCCCAAATTCCCCTTAAAAAAAAAGTCCTACCTCTCATCCATAGTAAATATTACTGTGTTACACTACAGTGGATTATAAAACTATCTGGGGCATTAAACTAAGGGATAATTCAAAATAATGATTTCCTTATTGAGAAAGAGAATTGACTCTAAAACTCTTAACAAATCCTTTTGCAAGTCATATGCTTTTTAATTATTTGTTTTCAACAAAATTTTAAAAGGGCTTAATAGAGTTGTCAGCTAAGTCATTAAAAAATCCTTTTTAATGATAAATTACTCTATAGATTTAGGTCCTATGATTCAGAGTAAATATAAAGAATTTAATGACTCTGCTACTTAAAAGAAATCATCCAGTATCATCTGTTAATGTGAATAAATTTTCTCAGTACTTAAACTGAAATAAAAACGAAAAAAAAAGATAAAATTGGTGCTGAAACTTGTTTAATTCTAGTAATATGTAATGTTTACTCAAGAGCTATTTTCTAAAATTTCATCCATCTCTTTGCAATGCATTTCCAATAAAGTTTTACTTTCTATATTTAATGTATTGCATCAAAATGTCCATATCTGCACGTTCATTGCTCAATTGTGCTGCCAATTAGAGTTGTAAAGCAAATCAATCCAGAAGAAATTGGTTTTTAACACTTAGAGCCTTACAATTGTAGAAATTCCAATAAAATAGAATTTCTATTGATATGCATATTTTTGTTACAGAGAAGTATGATAGACTGCTCAATAAGCCCTACAATACATTAAAATACATTTAAAACTTAAAAATATATTCCAGTAGGATGGACCTATAAAAGGGATGTTTCATCAATGGAAACAGGATATAGAAATTCAAAGAGAAATAGGAGGAAAATAAATTACAACTGTTAAAGAATATATTCATCTATAGCTTGGTGCAAAAGTAATTGCCATTTTGGACTGTGAATTTTAAATCATTATAACTAGCCTCAAACACATCTTTATTAATCAAAACAGGAACCATTACAATCAACACATTGTTACCAATGAGAAATAAGTTTGTTTATTCCTGTAGCATAAAAATCCATGCTTTGGGATTTGATAAACTCTTGGAAAGCATTTTCTGCATCCTGCTGGTTGTGGAACATTTACCCCTCAAAAACCTATCAAGGGCTGGGCGTGGTGGCTCATGCCTGTAATCCTAGCACTTTGGGAGGCCGAGGTGGGCGGATTGCTCAAGGTCAGGAGTTCGAAACCAGCCTGAGTGAGACCCCGTCTCTACCAAAAATAGAAAGAAATTAATTGACCAACTAAAAATATATATACAAAAAATTAGCTGGGCATGGTGGTGCATGCCTGTAGTCCCAGCTACTCGGGAGGCTGAGGCAGTAGGATCGCTGAGCCCCGGAGATTGAGGTTGCTGTGAGCTAGGCTGATGCCACGGCACTCACTCTCTAGCCTGGGCAACAAAGTGAGACTCTGTCTCAAAAAAAAAAAAAAAAAAAAACCTATCAAGATGCTTGAAGAAGTGGTAGTAGGTTGGCGAGAAGTCAGGTGAATATGGCAGATGGGGCAAAACTTTGTAGCCCAATTCATTCAACTTCTGAAGTGTTGGTTGTGCGATGTGTGGTCGGGGATTGCCGTGGAGAAGAATTGGGCCATTTCTGTTGACCAGTGCCAGTCACAGGCATTGCAGTTTTTGGTGCATCTCATCGATTTGCTGAGCATACTTCTCGGATGTAACAGTTTCCCCGGGATTCAGAGAGCTATAGTGGGTCAGACCAGCAGCAGACCACCAAACAGTGACCATGACCTTTCTGTGTGATGCAAGTCTGGCTTTGGGAAATGCTTTGGAGCTTCTTCTGAAACTTGTTTAATTCTAGTAATATGTAATATTTACTAATGAACTAATTTTTTAAAAATTTCATCCATCTCTTTGCAATGCATTTCCAATAAAGTTTTAATTTCTATATTTAATGTATTGCATCAAAATGTCCATATTTGCACGTTCTTTGCTCGATTGTGCTGCCAATTAGAGTTGTAAAGCAAATCAATCCAGAAGAAATTGGTTTTTAACACTTACAGCCTTACGATTATAGAAATTGTAAGGACCGCTCAGCTGTCCAACCACTGAGCTGGTCATTGCCGGTTACCACATAAAATTTTACCGCATAAAATCCACTTTTCATCTCATGTCACAGTCCAATCAAGAAATGGTTCTCTGTTGTGTACAGTGAGAGAAGACACTTCAAAATAACAATTGTTTTTATTTTGGGTCAGCTCATGAGATACCCACTTATAGAACCAATTTTCTTCAAATGCCAAACAACCGTAGAATGGTCGACATTGAGGTCTTCAGCAACTTCTTGCATAGCTGTAAAAGGATCAGCTTCAATGATTGCTCTCAGCTGGTTGGTGTCAACTTCTGACAGCTGGACGTTGCACTCCTAATCTTCAAGGCTCCTTTGCAAAACTTCTTAAACTCACCAATGTACTATATATGTTTGTTAGCAGTTCCTGGGGCAAATGCGTTCATTGTTGATGTTGCTGAGTTTTCTCTGCTGCTTTACAACCCATTTTGAACTCGAATAAGAAAATCACTTGAATTTGCTTTTTGTCTAACATTATTTCCATAGTCCAAAATAAATATAAAATAAATAGCAAGTAATAAGTCATTAGCAAAAACAGCAAGAAATGCACATTAAAATGATGTATAACATAACCACATTTAAGAATGTATTCCAGTATCAAACAGCAAATTTCAACAATGCTAAAACTGCAATTACTTTTGCACCAACCTAATATTTATTTTTCTAATGGATGACATTGGGCATCAAATGACAATGGCATTTAGATTTTGTTGGTTACATTTAAAAGTGATATAACAGTTTTGTTTTAAAATATCAACATTTATAATATTCTTAAATTCCATCTTTTGCAACATTTCAACTTTATGATAAAAAGATTTAGCTGTCATTATAAAAAGCTTTGAGGAAGGACATTGTTTTTTCAAAATTTTGTTAGGGTTGCATGAGAAAAAAAATTTGAAGACCTCTGCAAGACAATATTAGGAGTAGTCACAACAAGCATCAATATTTACCCAGCACCAGGGGTTGCAATTTTATGATACCAAAATTCAAGCCAAATCAGAACAATTTGGTAAAATAATCTCAGGTGATTTAAAAGAAGCTTTAGGTGTTGAGTGAATAGAATAATCAGTAAAATGGTGATTTGGGTCCATTCTCTGGTGCTGTTTTAACACTGCATAGATACAACATTAATCTTGCAGGCTTGTTGTAAGCAGGGCAGAAACCAGGGTGAGTATGCATTCTACTAAAGAGGGAAAATTACCTGCCTGAATTATGAGCAGAGCTCCAACTAAGATGCACTCACTACTTTCTAGTTAAAATTAGGTTATTGGGTTGATTAGAACTCTGGGGCTTGGCAGATTGGCTTATCCTCGCTGAAGTGGGTCGGGTAAGCAACATAATGATGCTATAGTTGTCCTCTGTCAGGCCTCAGCTGATGTCAGGAAGAGAGAAAGGAACAAGTGGAAGAGAATATCAAAGAGGAAAAAGAAAGAGAGAAGTACAGCAGGGAGAAAAGACAGACGAGTGTCTATCTAAAGATGAGGAGAGGGAGATTTCTTATTAAAAATGGGTTCATGGCAGACACACCAAAAGCCCTGACTTAAACATTATACAAGGTATCTAGGTAATAAAACCATCTGTACCTCCTTGATATTTTGAAATTAAATATATAAATAAATAATTAGTTGAAATGGGCTCACACGTTGGGCTCACCAAGCTTCTGGAACCCATCAAAGCAGGGCATCCAGCTAACCTCCCACTGAAAGCCAGTGCCTGAGAACCACATGTCAGGGTTTAGTCTGCAGCAATGAATTGCAGAATGTATGGATTCTCAGTTATCCTAATGCCCCAGTGACCTGGACAGGAAGACAGCCATTAAAGTGATACATAAAGCAATCACCCAAATTCTGCCTCCATATGTGAATTGACATGGAATTTTACCACAATAATTGTTGAGTACAAAAAGAAAATTACAGAATTACATGTATGGTTTCTTTTGAGTAAAAAAAAAAAAATTACAATTTGTATATGTGTTTGTGAAAAAAAAAAGTCTGAAAAAAATTGCCAATCTCCAGATAGTCAGATTCTGTGTGATTTTTTAAACTTTGTCTTATACCTTCCAGATTCACCTGCTTTTCTAACAACAACAACAAAAAAAATCTAACCCCCACAAAGGCAATACTTATTATAAAATGGCACATCGTAAGCAACTGAATAAGACCATTTTCTATTAAATAATCTTCTTTTCCAGATCTAGCTATTTCAATGATGTCTAATAAAATTACATGTGAGAGAGAAAGTGAGTTAAAAGAAGATATTCTTCCCCACTGCCAAATTTCTCTGTTGTTCCCCCTTCTGGACTCATCTGTCATTCCAAACCCCCCTTCCATAAACTCCAGCCCTTCTTACACCCCTCACACCTGAGGAATCTGCCCTGCCCCATTCACCTGTCCCAGCCTCTCTCTAGCCTCTCAGTTCATTGGCGCTCCCTAGTTTTACTCTCCTCCTTGACTAGCCAAAGTTCACAATAGTATCTTAAGAGATCTGTAAGTCTCCACTCTGCTTGATGACAGTCCCCAACCCTGGAACAGACAGTTCTCATGTTCCTCCTCCTCCCACTCCCAGGTGGACAGGTTCTAATAGAGAAGGCACAAACCAGATGGACTGCACATCCTAGGCTTACTTCCTCACCTCAATTGGTCCACAGACTCTTCATCAATGATGGAATAATAGTTTGTTTTCTCTGTTTCTAATTTTCTGATCTCTGGTATTTCATAATGCAACAATGCTAGCCGGGCCCGCCTCTCTTGGGATTCATGGCACTGGCTTCCTGTCACCTTCCCTACCAGGGACCTTAGAGACCTTTGCCGTCTCCTCTAGCCCCTCCTGTTCCTGCTCACCCCAACTCCCAAAGCTATGTAATAGCCATGTGCATGATTTTCCTCCAATTGCACCTCAAAATGGTTTTCTCTCTTCACTGTATTCTTCTCACCTTCCATTCCAGAAAAAGACATATTCTTTCTCATTACCAGGTCTAACTCTTTTACCTGCACTTCTGATCAGCCATTCCTAGTCTCTCTTAATCACAACTGTAACGACTGCTTGGTTTCTTCCTCCTTCTCCCCTTGCCTTTTTCCTTCTCCCTCTATCACTCCTTCTTCATAAACCCCTTTTCCTCTCCCTGTAGATTGTATATTTGGTCATGGTTTCCCAACCTCAAAAAATATACCTTGATCTAATTAACCCCTCAACTCCCATTATACCTCTCACAATTTCTTTTATCTTCTAACTTGTTGAAAGTGTAATCTACGATTGCTATTTCCACTTCTCAATAACTCCTTCCTCGACTCCTGCAATCTGACTCACAACACCTGCAATAGTTAGCGATGACTGCCTGATTTAAGATCCCACAACTTTCTCAGTTCCCATCCCCCTTGACCTTGCTACAACAACAACAAAAAACCATCAAAAATTCCCTCTTTAGGCCGGGCGTGGTGGCTCACGCCTGTAATCCTAGCACTCTGGGAGGCCGAGGTGGGCGGATTGCTCGAGGTCAGGAGTTCGAAACCAGCCTGAGCAAGAGCGAGACCCCATCTCTACTATAAATAGAAAGAAATTAATTGGTCAACTAATATATATATATAAAAAAAAAAAAAAAATTAGCCGGGCATGGTGGCGCATGCCTGTAGTCCCAGCTACTTGGGAAGCTGAGGCAGCAGGATTGCTTGAGCCCAGGAGATTGAGGTTGCTGTGAGCTAGGCTGACGCCATGGCACTCACTCTAGCCAGGGCAACAAAGCGAGACTCTGTCTCCAAAAAACAAAAAAAAAAAAATTCCCTCTTTGTCTAACTTTTTATCTGCATGCTCCACTCATTCTATCTCCTTTCTAGATCCTTCTTCTCTACCTCCTTATCAATTCCCTTCTGCTTTCTAAACTTCACTTCCTTACCACCCCCCGCCACACTTCTTCTCACACTGACAGGATCTGCTCTGCACCCACAGCCCTGGGCCCTTGACCTCTGTTCTCTTAGTCCATTAGAGCCCTCTGCTCTTATACTTCTTCCTTCTGTCCCCTGCACAAACATAAGCATTGCCCACAGGATTCTGTTCTCTGCTTACTTCATTTGTCTTCTTAAACTGTTCCATTTAGTATCCTCATTTCCTTCAACTTTAAATAATACTAATGTTTGGAAAAACTCCACTTTTTCAGATTTTATATCTACCTCAAATATTAGATGTACATTGAAAACAAATAAAACAAACCTAAGTCATCCTGTCCCTGCAGTGATCCTTGCCTGCTGAATTTTCTGTTCCTATTAACAGCACTTCCATTCCCCTAGAAGCCAAGCTTAAGTCACCAGAACCATCTGGCAATTGCTACCCCCGCATCCACAGGCTGTAAGCCTGGCCCCATCAGTCCTCTGGGAATATCGCCACGCTCTCTTTTTCTCTAGAGCCACATCAGCACCTAGGATCACAATCATTCTGTCTAACCCAAGCAATGCTAATTCCTAAACGTCTGGACTTCCAGGGTTTTCTTTGATAATCTTCCCTTCATATCAATAATTTGTTTTAAAGACAATATTTTTGTTACTCTCAGTCTCTATTTGATGAAGTGCAAGCTTCTCTGCCTGGTCTATAAAGCACTTCATGATCTGCTTCCAAACTGACATTCCGAACCTTGTCTCCCATGGCTCCTCACTGTTCCCTCCACCTCCCAGCTAATAATATTATATACCATTTCTGTAACACCCTCTGAAACATAGAGCTTTAACGCTTGTGTTCTTGTTTTAATCTGGCTGAAATATTCCTCCCCATCAATTCAAAACAGATTCACCCTACAGAGCCCATTCAAATCCCCACTCTCCTGGGAAGGCTTCCTGAAATCCACCTGGATAACTTGCATCTTCTGCTTTACCCTCCACTGAGCCCATTGGTGCCTCTGCTGTGGCCGATATCCTAATCAGCCATAGAATTATGTATTCATCTTCCCTAAAAGTTTAAAAGTCTTCAGAGAGCAAAAAAAAATCTGTATTATTCATTTGTATTAGCCATGTTTGTTCCATATTATTAACAAAATATATATTTAAGAAATGAATTAGTGAAAGAATATTGTCAATGTTTTTATGAATTGTGTCCTTTAAATATACAAATTTATGCTAATAGTGTACCTTCTTTAACAGGTGGTGCTGGAAGTAAACAGTGAATTTATTGTTGAGGTAATGTATAATAAAAGCATTTTCTTAACTCATATTTCTCAAGCTTATACTTGAGCTTATACTAGTAGCTTATTTATGTTTTCTCAAGCTTATACTAGTAGCTTATTTATGTTTTCTAATCTATAGCAAAGCAAAAGAAGCAAAGTAACACTTTAGAATGGGAAGAGGATTTGCAGATACTTACATGAGCAAAAAGACAATTGATGGTTGGTCAATGAAGGAAAGATACAAAAATTTAAAATTATGTAATCACAACTAAATAAAACAGAGAATCTGGAGCCATTTTTTAGAGTGGAACTCAGGAAATAAAGCTACTGTCTTCTCTTCTATGCTAGCAGGGCTTTATTTTAGTATAGTAGGTAAACTTTCATTATGACCATCTCAAATCATTGGAAAAAATAAAATTACTTTTCTAATCTCTTTTGGCAAAATAGGGACTATAAGCCAGGTGCAGTGGTTTATGCCTGGAATCCTAGCACCTGGGGAGGCAGAGGCAGAAGGATTGCTTGAGGCGAGGAGTTTGAGACCAGCCTGAGCAACAGAAACACCCTGTCTCTACAAAAAATAGAAAAATTAACCAGCTGTGGTGGCTCATGTCTGTAGTCCCAGCTACTCAGGAGGCTGAGACAGGAGGATGGCTTGAGCCCAGGAGTTTGAGATTGCTGTGAGCTATGATGATGCCACTGCACTCTAGCCCAGGCAACAGAGCAAGGATCTATCTCAAAATAAAAAAAAAAAATAGAGAATATGTGGTACATTTCAGAAAGTTGTATTAAAATGAAGGGAAACAATGTAAATGCACTGGTTTTTGAAAGGATATGTTACAGTCAATGGAACATCTCCTCCCCTGAAGTGGTAATTAAATGAAACTTAGCTTAAATAAACATATAATCACCTATGTTTCAATAGCACATTAGGATTTACAAAAATAAATATATGTATGTATATATGAACATATTTGTACATGTAGTAACATGTCTAAACTCTTTGATAATATGAAATTCTTAAGCATTATTAACAGTGGCAATATAGACTACAAAAGGAAAAACATAGCAAAACAGAGATACACATGTACAACATTGAGAAGCCATATAGATGTTCATGGGATTATTGTAAGAACCATCAATTTAGTTAATAAGGGCAGGACGCCTGTAATCTTAGCACTCTGGGAGGCCGAGGTGGGCAGATTGCTCAAGGTCAGGAGTTCGAAACCAGCCTGAGCAAGAGCGAGACCCGTCTCTACTATAAATAGAAATAAATTAATTGCCCAACTAATATATAGAGAAAAGATCAGCTGGGCATGGTGGCGTATGCCTGTATTCCCAGTTACTCAGAGGCTGAGGCAGGAGGATCACTTGAGCCAGGAGTTTGAGGTTGCTGTGAGCTAGGCTGACACACGGCACTCACTCAGCCTGGCAACAAAGCGAGACCTGCGTCTCAAAAAAAAAATTTTAGTTAATAATATTTTTCTAATCCTGCAATAATATATTTGGATGCTTAGCCATAGTGGTATCCTCATCAATCAACAGAAAAAAACAATCTCTTCTCTCTTTTGGGTGAGCCCAACTCACCAGCACAACTTCCATTTTGTATGGGATGTGTTCACACAAAACAGAGGAGATCTTTAAACTCTTCAGACTCTAAAGTCTGGTCAGTGAAGAGGAAGGTAGGCATAGCCCCTATCAGAAAAGAAAAACTACACCATTTATGCAGGATAGCACATTGTGAGTTCCACATGTAGCTAATTAAATTCGTTTCATTAGAATCAAATAGTTGAAAGTAAGATGATTATAAAAGAAATAGCAGTTGAGGTGACCAAACTGTATCTATCCAGAGTTGTGAATTAGTGAAAACTTTCTTTGTCCTCCAGATTCAATATCATTGTTCCTTACAATGTTAAGTAAGTGCCGGGCGCAGTGGCTCACGCCTGTAATCCTAGCACTCTGGGAGGCCGAGGCGCAAGGATTGCTCGAGGTCAGGAGTTCGAAACCAGCCTGAGCAAGAGCAAGACCCCGTCTCTACTATAAATAGAAAGAAATTAATTGGCCAACTAATATATATAGAAAATTAGCCGGGCATGGTGGCGCATGCCTGTAGTCCCAGTTACTCGGGAGGCTGAGGCAGGAGGATCGCTTGAGCCCAGGAGTTTGAGGTTGCTGTGAGCCAGGCTGACGCCACGGCACTCACTCTAGCCTGGGCAACAAGCGAGACTCTGTCTCAAAAAAAAAAAAAAAAAAAATGTTAAGTAAGTGTGTTTACTTAGTAAAATTGTCCTAACAGTGTAAGAAACATGAACCATTTTGGCTCCAGGTGAAAGAACTAGACATTGAAAATGGCACCACAACATGGCAAACCGTCAGAAGACAGAAGCGGGAATGGATCAAGTTCGCTGCAGCCTGTCGAGAAGGAGAGGACAACTCCAAGAGGAATCCGATTGCCAGAGTAAGTGATAAAACAGACTGATAACAAATGCATTTGCAGGGCAGGAAAGCGCTCAGATATTTCCAGGATTTGCAGGCTTCGCTGCTCCACAATGATTTATGAAGATGCCATGTGGTCATTTGCTCATGTTGCCAAGACTCTGACATGGTGCAGGCAGTGAGTGAGTGACAAGTCATCAAAGAAGAAAGAAACGATTGGCTCTCCAGCACAATTAGGCTTCATTTGCCCCTTTGTGTTCTGCTCATTATTGACCATATATGCTATGGAAAATTTATTCACACGGTGATAGTCCAAAGACTAGCCATCCAGAATGTCAAGCAATTACTGCACTTGATTAATTCACTCCAAGAAAAGTAAGGACTGTGCAAAGTTCCCACTACACCTCTACATCTAGCAACTAGGAGAGTCTTAAAAGGCCTTCACAGATAATGGCAACCAATTAGGAAAGAGAGTTAAAGAAAGGATGTGTATTACATTTATCCATGAAGGATGGGATCTATATCAACAGCTTCACCAGCTCCTCCTGGGCATCTTGGCCTTGGGCCATTATTGTAATCAATAGTAGAATGATCTACTGAATTCTTTCCTTACAGCTTCACATTGAAAATACAGTAAGAATCAGCAATAATGTTACAGAGATAACCTCAGCTCAAGAAAAGAGATTTATTCTCTCAGAAGTTTTCAAATTGGAGGGAAGCTTTTAAATTATTACTCCCATTCAACTCAGTGATAGCTTTATGGTGTCATACTCATATTGCATATTCTTTTCTTTTTCTTTGCATTTTGGGAGGTTCTTGGGTTTTCTTCTGTATAAAAAAGATCTTTGGATTAGTGTTGATCTAACCAAAGTTGTATTTCCAGCTGTCTTAATTTGATTGTGAATGTTTAGGTGATGAATCTTAATATTTTACTGAATGTTCTCAACTTTAGTAGAAGGTTTCAAAATTTAAACTATCTTGGTTTAAATTTATCAGCAATAGATATACAACTACTAAAACAAAATCTATATGGCAGAATATTTGTCATAAAATCTATTTGGCAGAAAGGGGGTATAGTAGGTTTAAATTTATAAAATTATTACCAATATCTCTAAACATTGTGTTTCTCCTCTGATTTTCTCAATTTATTTACCACTTTGACCAAATCTCAGACCCAAGTCTACGTAGTATACTTATTAATGTGACACAAATTTTTAAAAAAAAAAATAGTAAAGATGTGTCATTTTTTCTTTCAGGCTCTTTATATGCAAAAATATCAGAGAACTGAACAACGTATTGTTAATAATAACAAATCTAGCATCAAGTATGTTTGTGCCATATATAACGATACCTCATACAATCCTTACAATAAACCTATGTGATAGGTGGTGTTATCTCCACTATAAGCTGATCTAGGCAGAGTTAAGTGAATTTTGCAAGTTCATACAGAACTAAGACATGATGCCAGGTTTCAACCTCAAGCCCATCTGGCTATAAAACTCATTTCCTTATCATTCCACTACACTCTGAAGTTTATTATCTGCTCTAAATTAGATCACAATCCTAGCCATTTTTCTCGTAGATTCGATCAGACTGTGAGTCGAACCAGAAGATTACATACCGAATCTCTGGGATAGGGATCGATCGACCACCATATGGAGTGTTCACCATTAATCCTCGCACTGGGGAAATTAACATCACTTCAGTGGTAGACAGAGAGGTAACTCCACTTTTCCTGGTAAGTCACAGCAGCATATTTTAATTTATTCATTTTAGTCTTCTTCCCTTTTTAAAAAATATTTTCTCAGGACTATGGCTTGCTTTTGATAAAACATAATAGAATGAAACCAAATAAAGGGTTTGAAGAGATGGAAAGAGTGTGAAAATATGTTTATAGTGCAGGAGTCTCTGGTGTGTTGCATGTGCATATCATCAAGTGTCTTGATAGTATTTGAATTATTAGACTATAATGTAGTTTGAATTCACTGGAAAAAATTGTTTCTTTGCATATTGCTGATGTATTTTCAAGCATGTTACTTAAATTCTTTTGGTGGAGAGTTGTTTTTTTTTCTTTTTTTTTCTCCAACTTTCCACAGATCTATTGTCGGGCTCTGAATTCAAGGGGTGAAGATTTAGAAAGGCCTCTTGAACTGAGAGTCAAAGTCATGGACATAAATGATAATGCTCCAGTCTTTACACAAAGTGTGTACACAGCCAGCATTGAAGAAAACAGCGAAGCAAGTAAGTAGAATGATTCTGCATCATATATCTATTTCTCATGGTCAAAAGCTTTGGAAGATTGAAATATAGGCAATTTAAAGACTAGAAAAAGTCACACTTGTGTTTTGAATAAATGCCACAAATTCCAGCTTGAACCTAAGCTAGAAAAAAAATCATGTCTCAAATGCTAAATATCTTCTTATTTGTGGAAGATTCTTGTACATATGTGTGATTTAGCAAGAGCTCCCTCAGAGATTGTGACTGGGCTGATGATTAACATAATCCAAGTGAGTAAACTGAGGAAGAAACCATGAATGTTTAAAAAAAAAAAAAAAGGCTCTGTCCTGGTCTATTCCTCAAAATTCTTGGCTGAATCACACCAGGTAGATGAATGCATGTGCAATTGTAACCATCAGATCTAACACTAAGGGTAATCATTTTTCACACACTATACAAGTTACATTATAGTCTCTCATTTTTTTCATTTCTTTCTATCTTGCTAAATTCCATTTCTGACTCTACTAATTTAACATTTAATCATTTAAGGAGTGCAAGTACATTATAAACAGTAAAGGGTTTTATAGAAGCAAACCATCATTATTTTGTAATCACTGGCATAGCTGAAAGTTATGGTCCTATATTCTCACAAAAAATTCAAACAGAGAGAATTCAGGAGCAGGCTGACCACTCTTTCTTCTTGTATTTAATGATTGGCTGAACTAATTCTAATAAAGTCCCAACCATTCTCCACCTCCTTCTTCATTTCTAGATTCCCTGGTAGTAAAGTTAAGTGCCTCAGATGCAGACGAAGAAAATCATCTGAATTCTAAAATCGCCTACAAGATCATCTCTCAGGAGCCTGCAGGTGTACCAATGTTCATTCTCAACAGATACACGGAGAAATTCGCACAGATGTCCAGTTACCTTGACAGAGGAGGAAAGCCTTCTGTGAACGAATGATAAGAAATAAAGAATTCTATTTTGAAAAGACAAAGGTGAAATAATCCTTGTATGTCCCTACTCCAATATAAAGGAGGAAAGAAAATCCATTTGTGGGCCGGGCTTGGTGGCTCACACCTGTAATCCTAGCACTCTGGGAGGCCGAGGCGCAAGGATTGCTCAAGGTCAGGAGTTCAAAACCAGCCTGAGCAAGAGTGAGACCCCGTCTCTACTATAAATAGAAAGAAATTAGTTGGCCAACTAATATAATAAGAAAAATTAGCCGGGCATGGTGGCGCATGCCTGTAGTCCCAGCTACTAGGGAGGCTGAGGCAGGAGGATCACTTGAGCCCAGGAGTTTGAGGTTGCTGTGAGCTAGGCGACGCCACGCACTACTCTAGCCTGGGCAACAAAGTGAGACTCTGTCTCAAAAAAAAAAAAAAAAAAAAAAACAACAACAAAAAAAGAAAATCCATTTTTGAATAAAAACTAAAAGCTTAATTATATAGATTTAATTTGATGTGTATATAAAAGAAATGAGAAATAATGGCATTACATGTGTTAGATTGTATTCAAGACAAGACCTAAGTCCTATAATTTTTTTCCATCTCAATTAAGCAACACGGTATGTACAACTTAATCGTGAGGGGCTCAGATCGGGATGGAGCTGCAGATGGACTGTCTTCCGAGTGTGACTGCAGAATCAAGGTTTTAGACGTCAACGATAATTTCCCCACCTTAGAGAAAACTTCAGTAAGTTGTTCTTCTTATAACCCTTTTTCCGTAAATGTCAATAATTGATTTGCTTTCATGCTAATTCATAAGCCTGGTTCTGTTACACGTAGGGATGTACTGAACTTTGTTGTATAAACCTTGGGTTTTCTTATTATAATAATATACCTTCTAATGTATTAGTCTGTTTATCTCCACTCACTACTCCAAACAGGCCTTCTCTGTGAAAGCAGCAAACTCTCCACTCCGTATACTCTACTCACGAAATGCGGAAATTCATTGATATAACTCTGGGAATAATGAAGCAACATTGATGTATTTTTAGATAACTCATGATTTGCTGAATTATATTAGAGCCCCAAACATTCTCAACTTGCATTTTCATCTTTAGGCATAAACAAGCATAAAATCCAAACTGGTAGAACCAAATCTGGCCCATGGCCTATTTTGGTTAAAAATATGTATTTTTGGACTATAGCTGTGCTCATTCCTTTACATGTTGTTTATGGGGGCTTTAATGCTTCATTCTACAACAGTAGTTGCAACACAGACTCTCTGGCCCATGAAGACTAACATATTTATTACCTGGCCCTTTATAGAAAAAAATCAGATGCTTTGTTTAAAAGAAAAGAATAAAGTAAAGGGAATTAAAAATAATTGTAAAAAAATAAAACAAAGTTCCAATTTGACCTTGATTTCATATACAGCACATGAAAATCAGTTATATTGTTTTATAATCATTTTATTCTTATATTTCTGATTCAATATATGGTATCTAATAATGGTACAATAATCATTGACATAGTCTGTTGTTAATATTTTAAATGATAATTTTAAATGATAATTAAGTATTAGTAAATATATTTCTTCTTTTAAAATGTGTTGATTATAAAATTGATCTATGTCATTGCAGTATTCAGCAAGTATTGAAGAGAATTGTTTAAATTCAGAACTGATACGATTACAAGCAATTGATCTTGATGAAGAAGGCACCGATAATTGGTTGGCAAAATATTTAATTCTCTCTGGCAATGAGGGGAATTGGTTCGATATTCAAACAGACCCAAAAACTAATGAAGGCATTTTGAAAGTTGTCAAGGTACAGTATTGGATCTGTAATATTTTCTTCCAAAAAAGTTTTAAATGACTCTTAGAGGTAGAATCTGCCTTCAAAAAAGAACTCCATAACCTTATAGCAACAAGTGTCCTAAGTAAACTACTGCATCAGCCTGAGCCTTCCAGCCCAGCAATACAGTATTTATTACCAAGAAAAACAAAAAGGTTATTTTGTTCTCACAGTGCCTGATATCTAGCTGAGAAGATAAAGTCACCACTCCCAAATTAGATAATGTATGAGAGTTAATAGTATAATAAATAATGGCACAGATGTCAGGATATAAACCATTATTAATTGCCAAGAGGGTGAAATATGAAATAATAAGATAAGAGAAGGTGAGATCCTTCTAAGCTAGATTTGTCTGAAAAGGTTTCATGCTGGGAAATAAGATTTAAGCAAGACCTTAGATTGCTACGGAGGGTAATAAAATGAGAAAACACACATAGGTAAGAAAATATGAAGCATGTTCAAGACATGGTGAGTAATTCTGTGGGATTGTAGCAGAGTATTCAAGAAAGGAAGCAAAGAGAAGCCAGAACAGAGAGATAGAATTGGAGTCAGTGCTGAGAACCTTGAATACTAAACTATGGGGTTTGATATTTTTCCTATAGATTAATTTTTCTTAAACTACTTGCTTTGACTTCATGGACAATAATAAAATCTAAAAATTTACAATTAGAAACAAAACCACAAACCAATAAGATTCAAATTAAAATTAATGTAATGAAGGAAATTATTTTTTTCTCAAAGGAAGCTGCTACTAACAACATAAACACTTAGAGCTAAGAAAATATATACTTAGACACACATATATATTTAGTTTGGCACACATGTGATCATGATTATTCAATTCTGTTACTACTTTTCTCGATTCAAGTTATTGTGACATTTTTTCAGATAAGGAAGCCATTTAGCCTTCACCTGATGCAAACATAACATTTATTTTTTAGTCTTTCTCTTTTCCCAAGTGTTTGGAGCAATTTTCAAAGTATTGCTACTTTACCATCAAAACACAATCATGCACACTGAAATTAGGGGGCATATTTACTTATGAGCTGGTCAACAAAATTATGAAAAATATCTATATATAGTTTTTTAAGATTTTTCATTCAAATGAAAATACAAAATTTCAAAATTGCTTAAGAGAACACAAAGACTCAAACAATATACTATGGACTTCCTGTTTGAGAAACATGGCTTTGGGCCACAGGTCAGCAAGCTATGATCCACAGGTCAAATCTGAACTTTTATATCCCTTGTTTTATAAATAAGTTTTATTGGAACATAGTCACATTCATTTATGTATTTTCTGTGGCTGTTTCCACACTCCAGTGGCTGAGCTGAATACTTGAGATAGAAACTACATATAACTCCCAAAGCCTAAAATACTATCCAGCCCTTAACCAAAAAAAACAGTTTTCAGTCCCTATTTATAGACCAAAGAACAAGAGGTTGTCTACCACTATACCAAAGTCTGACTATTTAGTCAAGTTTTCCTCCCGGGATCAGAATTTATTCAACCTTGTGTCCTGGTTTAAAAATCAAGATCTAGATATGACATGCAATTCTAACCTATCTTCTTACCATCTATCTTAATCACTGACTTTGCATATTATCTTACAACATATAACTTTGCTTTGTCTTTGATCTGTCGACCTACTAATATAATAAAAACTTTACACATAAACAACCTGGCCCAAACATCTTTCTACTCCTAACACCTGGTCTAGTTTCCAGAAGATAGTAGAGACTTCCAAAACTTCAAGGATAGTGTTGATGCATTTACCTAAAACTAATGATGTAGATTTCACCCAAATGGGAATCACTGCACTTGACTGCATAATTCATAATTTCTACATAAAATTATAAAAATCAAAAAGAAAACATTTTAACAATGTAGGTAATACACTGTCTACAACTTACATAATGTATCTTCTGTGATCACTAAAAGTTTTTTAAGGCATATGTACTTAATTGCCAAAAAAACTATTGAAATATCAATTTCATAAAAAATTGGTCAAGGTAGTGTTAGATGTTATACAAACTTCCTACCTATTTTTCCTGAATGAGGACTTCCCAAATCTCTTAAAGATGACAAGAAAAACATATGTTTAAAAACACCAAAATAATAGGGAAAGGCTAATTAAAATGAAATTAGAAACCTTAATATGTGTGTTAGTACATAGCTAAAAGATCTATTTTAGAGAACATTTGGGTAATATTCCCAGGTTTGGCATTTTCAATAGCCAGTGGTCAGCCACTCATCCCAAACGTGTCTGGATAAGGTCGCTAATGTTCTCTTGAACCCTGTTCATTTTCATTCAAACCACTACTTAACATGGTGGAAACTGGCCTTTTGGTAATGGGCCTTTGACTAAGCTTTATATAAACCTTTTCTTAATCTGAGGACATTACAAATCATTCAACTCAACAAAAATGTATTGAGATTTGCTATACGCTAGGGATATGAAGGTGAATGAGACAGGGTCCCTGTTCTCAAGGAACTTACAGTTTAAAAAGAGAAAATCTCTGAAAAGGTTGAAAATCTCCCTGTTGATAACAACCCCTCATTAATACTTTTTGATACATGTGTACGGAAATACAAGTAGTATAAATATATATGTGTGTATATATACATATTCACTTCAACAATGAGGAAAAAACAAAATACTACCCAACTGGAATTCTAACAAAGAAATATTGGTTCTCTATTGTAATAATAATTCTCTATTTTAATAATAATTCTAATTAAGCAATTACTAAACACCAACTGTGGCATTATATTGTATTTATAGAGGTTTCACACATATTATCTCATTTAATCCTCACAACTCTGGGGGAAAATAGAGTGATTCCATTTGTATATAAAGTGAAACAAAATCAAAGAGGAAAACTGTCTTGTCTCAGTTTACCCAGGTACCAAATGGCAAAGACAAGATCCAACCAGATCTCTCAGATCCCAAAGTCATATTTAGCCACCACTGTTCCTCACCATGTCATCAGGGGCCAGTAAAACAGGTTTTAGGAAAGAACTAGCATCCTGAGATTTTCCCTTCAGTCTGTTCACCACTATAAACTCCTTCCCGGCTGTGTGTGCCCTGCTGCTCTCTCCTAGACACCTTCGTACCAGAAAATACGCCTTCCTTGAGAGAACTCTCTTGCAGATATTTGATCATTCCCTCAGTCACCTGCCGTAGAAAATCTATCACATACTCCTTTTGGATGGAGACTTCTAATCACCCCACTCTTTCGTACTTAGTTCTAAAATGAACCAGTGTCCTCCTAGAATTAGTAGTGTCATATTAAATTAGACCAAAAAACTGGACGTGGGGCTCCAACAGCTTAGCTTCTATACTAAAATTTACTAAAGCAAAGAATGTGCCAGAAGCCAAATCCATTTCTAGAGTGGTTGTCTTCATCCAGAGCCCTACTAGATCTGTAGATCCCCTTAGGCCGGGCCCCGCCCACACTAGCACTTCTGCATATCCTTGCTAAGTGGTTATTCTTCCTTCAGGCCTGAAACTGCAGAGAGCCCGTTTTTTCCAGCCTCTCCCTTCCCTCCAAGAGACTCCAGGGTAAACAGTTGCTTTTATTGCTCTTTACAAACCCCTGACCTCTGGACATGATCAGAAAATCCTTGATAAAGGGCCCCACTTGCAAAGAATGAATGAACAACTTTCTGCCTTTCCTCTATTTGTTTTTTGTAATCTTCCTTCATAAACATGGACCTGGACCAATTTCCTGCCCCTGGATTCTGGGAAGATCCTTAATTGGTACAACTTTAGACACATATTAATATACTTTTGACACACTCTGTTCAGGAGGAAGAGAGCTATTCGGACAAACAAAAGTGCTTTTGTGTGTATATGTAAGAAAACCCCAAGATATTTCTCTATCAGAATAGAGGTCCCCAGATTTTTCGTTTATTTGAAGAGAGCGTGGACTTTTAGAAAATACAAATTGAGGTGTAGGAAAGGGATCCCTTCTGCTTGAAAATTCATTTTTGAGCATATAATTCATATCCTGTGCTAGGAGTCATGTGGACTGGTCCATTGTGTGCTGTCAGTGGGCTAGGGAGTCTATGGGCATCTGTGAACAGATGTACAAAAGCGATCGAAGTCCCAAATCTCAGTTGAAGCATGCTGAGCCATCTCCAAATAAGAACTCAAGGGAATGCCCACAAATATTTGTCTTACCAGCTCTTCTGAAAAACTTAACTCTAAAACCTAGGAAAAGATTCAAAATGTCATGGGATTTGTCTGGGAAGCAGAGATTTATCTCCAAGTCTTGCTAATGCCAAGTCTTGCTGATTTCTTGACTTCTGCTGTTGGTACCTGTGTATACAAGTGGTGCTTACCGTAGCTTCCAGAACACTGCTAAACACACATTGCCCAGTGTCTTCTTCTTTATAACTTGTGACTTTATTCCTTTGTGACTTTTCATGTCACCATATCAATCATTCTGGATGAAGCGATTCTATTTATTTTTTATCCTGGACACCCATTTCAAAGGTGACTTTTCTCTGGGCATGGCATTTACTTATTTGAACATGCCCTGTAAGGGAGTCTTCTTGTCCACCAGACCCAGCACAAATAAATTACACTTTAGGGCTGACTGTAATAATCATAAATTCTTTAGAAGTTGTTTACACCATTTAAAAAAAAATAATTACATGTTTAAAGACATCATGTATATTGACTCCTTTATTCTGCTAATTATACTTTCAAGGGATTCTCAAATATGAGTTCTGTATAGGAAATCTGGATCCAATTTAGTTACTCATTCAATAGCTGTGAACATTTTATTTCTTAAATTTATTTTTGGTTTTTCAATAGCACCTCATTTGGAAAGAAATATCATAAAAATTGTAGCACTTTTTTATAAGAAGTTCAAAGCTCCAAAATTTGATTCCAATTTAAAATCACAGGCTTAAATGCCCCCCATACCTGATTATGCCAAGAGTTAGAGAGAATACCATATCTAAAATACCTAATGCAGTAATAAGTAAAATGTTTTCAATTCAAAATCTAAATCACATAGCTCCTGGACTTTCTTCTAGTGTGTCGTTTGCTTTCCATAGCTTCTTATTCTATCAAAAGAGAGTCCTTTACTGTTTCAGAGATTTTTACTTTCTATCATTTTCAGATGCTGGATTATGAACAAGTGCCTAATGTTCATCTTAGCATCGGAGTTAAAAACGAAGCTGATTTTCACCACTCAGTTGCTTCTCAATTCCAAATGCGCTCAACTCCTGTAAGAATTCAGGTTGTGAATGTGAAAGAAGGACCTACATTTCATCCAAGTTCATTGACTTTTAGTGTGCCAGAAGGAATAAAAGGAGATTCCTTACTGAATTATGTGCTTGGCACATACACAGCCATCGACTTGGACACAGGCAATCCTGCAAAAAACGTCAGGTACTGCAAATACATTGTTCAAATTAGTGTGGCATGGTTCTATGTAGAATTGATTCATGTGGCATGTGCTGGAATATGTGAAAACTCTTATCTTTTAGAGTTTTGCTTTTCTTGTTTGTTTTGTTTGTTTCATTAATAGACTATTGTGGCATTTGAAATCTTCTTAGAATTTTAATAGTGTTTTGGAGGCTGTAGGGCTCTAACTAGTTATGAAAGTAATTGTGTCCAGGGAGCAATTGTAAGATCAAAGAGCCACCTAATTTACTCCCTGAGTCTCTTTGATCTTTTGTGGCCAGTTTGTTCTACCCTGGACACGGGCTAATTAAGCCATATTATAGACAATAAGATACTATAAAAGTTGAGTCACTGCTTGTTTTTTTTTTTTTAAGCTTGTGTTATCAATGACATTGAGACTAATTTCAATCCTCTGTTTAACCTAAGAGGAAAAAACAATGGAAGAAGCTAAAAACAAAGGTGTTTCAGAAGTTCGATAAGCATAAACACAAAATAGGAAAAACAGAAAGGTAGGCATTAGGCACTAGGTACATAGATTATAGACGAATTAGAACTGCATATGATAGTCTGAAAATAAATACAGTGAAATATATAGGTCTTCTCTATGTACTTCCCTTCTCTCTTTCCTTTTCTTCCTATATTTTTGGAGTGAACAAAGTCTATTGAATTATAAATTACTGTGATGTTAACAATTTTAAGTATTAAATCAGCTAATACATTGTTAGACTCAACAAAAATTACAAAATCTGTTCCCCTCCCCCATGGGGTGGAGAAAAAACAATGTCAGATAAGTGAATTGAAAACTTGAAATTGTACCTGATAGAGACCAGATCTTCTGGCAGTTAGGTGAAGCACTTTAAATTCATTATCTAGAAGAGAACACAGTTAGACAAGCTGAACAGAGGATACCACAAGCCCACAAACAGGCCACCAATGAGGTGCTTTGAAGCCAATATGCCTGAAAATCTAAAATAAACATTTCTAAGTATGTGAAAAAGAATAAAAAATATTTATTGGTGAAGATGAATAATGGATATTCTATATTGCTAATGATTTAATAAATAGACCTGAAATTAACTCATGCATTTTATTAACAATTATGCTAAGAACTAGAAGAGTAAGAATGATAAAATTTTAAAATTCTATTGTGAACCTGCACATTAATACATTTACTATTGGTTTTTATTGATATAGATATATTTTATAAACCAAGACAATTATCACTATAAAGCACACAAACACAATATATGTTTACCACATTGTAGCTCTTATGTGATTTAAAAGTACTAACTTTCATAAAAGCATAATGATGAACTTATTTATTTAAAAACAGGTATATCATAGGGCATGATGCAGGCAGCTGGTTAAAAGTCGATTCAAGAACTGCCAAGATACAATTTTCTAGGGAATTTGATCAGAAATCAAAATATATTAGCAATGGGATATACACAGCAGAGATCCTGGCTATAGATGGTAAGAACATTTATTTTCGATATTTTAAGAAATTAGTACTATTATATTAAATATTATAAATATTATTCTAATGTTGATATTTGAGTGACTCAAAATTTATCTTTTAATGGTGTATGAAAAGTTCTAAACACCTTAGATCAAGAACTGAATTCCATTATGCTTATAACCATAATTTACACTTAAGCCATCATTTATTTCACCTATTTCCAAAAAAGAATTGTATGGCTTACAGCATAAAAGCTAAAATATGTATAAATAAAATTAAGTTTCTGTTTATAACCTAATTTCTTGAGTATGGCTAATCCCACCTGTTGAGTATGTTAGGAATGTTTACTTAAAGTACAGACTACAAGCTGAGCACAAAGTTCATTTGGGAATCACCTCAGATGAGTAGGGGGAGGTAGTGTCCCCAAGAATATTGTTATTTTAGAGCCACTAAACTAAACTGCAGTGAGTGTTGCTGTGTGAGTGTTGCCCTGATTAGATACATCGTCCATAGTAGTTGTTATGGACCAAGAAAGCACAAGGTTATTGCAAATACAAGGTCTACATGAAAAGTCATTAAGTGCAGACGCACTGAATTAGCTTGTAATGGAGCCTTCTCACGTGGGAAAATCTATTAAGCATTCCTCTTGGTGAGTAGCAACGGGAGTTTGTTTATCCATCAATAGTTAATGATTCTATGGAGCAGTGCCTAGGAAACCAGCTGCTACAGAACAAAACAAGAGAGAAAGGTCAGGAACCAGGAAGGAAGAGGAAATATAAGTATCCCAGTTACACACCTGATATAAGATATATACTGTAGGTTTGCATTAAATTTATATCAGTATCTAACATTCACAGTAGCCAAACAGAAAGAAATATAAGTGAGCAGCATAAGATTCAAAAAGAAACCATGATAAAGCCAAAGCAATTACAGTCCATACGCCCTGGTCTTCATCCTGTGGCTGTCACTTTTAACATCTGGGGCAGTTATATAAATGACATTGTCTTAATTATGGTCAGTATTCCAGAAGGTCTGTTCCTAAAATGGATTCTAACCATGTTGATCATACCCTATGTTTTCGTATTGGTCATATGTGAAAATCTTTAAAAATCGGAATAAAAAATTAGTCATTTCAAGCGACTAAAGAAAGTACTATCAAAATGTACCAAGAGAAAACTAAAAACGAAGTCCATTGTTTATTACCTAAGCAGAGTGTCTGCACTGGCACAGAGCTATCCAGATTGTTTGGAATAAGTCTGACCCAGGATACACAACCATTGGGTTCACAGACAGCAAACTTGATCGGGCTGTACACAATAGATTGGGCTGTGGTTGCCTCATCACAAGGCAATAGGAAAGCTATAGAGGATCAGAGAATGACAAATAAAACAATCTATGGAGTAATCTGATGTTTCTCTAATGACAAAGTGAAATAGACTCTTAAAGTCCAATGCCAAAGGCTGGGCGCGGTGGCTCACGCCTGTAATCCTAGCACTTTGGGAGGCCGAGGCGGGCGGATTGCTCAAGGTCAGGAGTTCCAAACCAGCCTGAGCGAGACCCTGTCTCTACCAAAAATAGAAAGAAATTAATTGACCAACTAAAAATATATATACAAAAAATTAGCCGGGCATGGTGGCGCATGCCTGTAGTCCCAGCTACCCGGGAGGCTGAGGCAGTAGGATCGCTGAGCCCAGGAGATTGAGGTTGCTGTGAGCCAGGCTGACGCCACGGCACTCACTCTAGCCTGGGCAACAAAGTGAGACTCTGTCTCAAAAAAAAAAAAAAAAAAAGTCCAATGCCAAATAAAGTATAAGAATATACTGAACAAAGTCACGTAGGATATATATAAGCTCTTGATTTATTATCATTTGATTAACTCAATGGCTTTACCACTTAGGCACACAAAAAGCACCTTTAAAAGAAGTTTATTAATTTCTCAGAAAATGACCTAGTAAAGTACCCTAGAGGTGGTAAGTTTATAAATGAGAAAACTAAGATTCTTTGCAAGTTAAAAAAAAAAAAATCTTTACTTATTGTAATGGAACATAGAGTAGAAAAGTAGATTAGAAGCCCAAACTTTTAAATAGTAGTCCTCTGCCCTTTCTAATAAATTGTATTAACCAAAAATTTGTTTCAAATGGATTAGGGGGAAAAATCTAATAGGTTTATATTTGTTTTCAGCAACACCATTCAGAGAGACATACCATCTAATGGATGGAATTAAAATCAATAGTGAAAACATAAAGAAAAAATAGAATTATTTAATTTCACTTGTGGTTATTTCCACAAACACAGAGCTCAATGGGCATCCTGAATGGAGGGTTGTGAGCTGGTCTGGGGGATCTAATTTATGAGGACAGGATGAGAAGAGAAGGTAGCCAACCTTCTGAGGAAGGTTTTTTGCATCTTAGGATGCATCTTAGGATGTATAGAAATTAGCAGAATGAAATGAGGTTGAAAAACCTTTTAGGAAGAGTGAACAGAATGCACAAGAGTCTCTAGTTAGGCGGGGCATGGTGGCTCATGCCTGTAATCCTAGCACTCTGGGAGGCCGAGGCGGGCGGATTGCTCGAGATCAGGAGTTTGAAACCAACCTGAACAAGAGCGAGACCCCGTCTCTACTAAAAATAGAAATAAATTAATTGACCAACTAAAAATATATATACAAAAAATTAGCCTGCCATGGTGGCACATGCCTGTAGTCCCAGCTACTACGGAGGCTGAGGCAGGAGGATCGCTTGAGCCCAGGAGTTTGAGGTTGCTGTGAGCTAGGCTGACGCGACGGCACTCACTCTAGCCTGGGCAACAAAGTGCGACTCTGTCTCAAAAAAAAAAAAGAAATTTGCTCAAAGGTTTCAAAAGAAGCCATATGCCTGGAAGATAGCACGCAAAGGCAAGAGTGACTTTGGGTCGTTGAGGCAGGCAGGAACCTTTCCTGCATCGCAAGTCATTCAAACGATTCCTTTGTGCGGTGCATCATCATGAAATATGAAAAAGAATGTTCTCCTAACATCATTTACCCCAACACCTATGACACTTTGCTCTTTCAGATGGCTCTGGAAAAACGGCGACAGGAACCATATGTATTGAGGTTCCTGATCCCAACGATTACTGTCCAGACATTGTTCCTGACAGAAGAACCATCTGCACTGACTTTCCGTCAGTCCTCATCTCTGTTAACGAACACGCTTACGGGTCTCCCTTTACCTTCTGTGTCGTTGATCAGCCTCCAGGAACAGCTGACATGTGGGACATCAGATCAGTAAATGGTAAGGGAATGTAAACTTAGCTCATTCAGTCCAAAAGCAAGACAATTATCAAATAGTTAGTCAAGTCATTGAGGAATGCCTTCTATATCTGTTTCCATAATTCTTGCCATATTAACATTAAATGGGGAAAAAAATCCTCTCATGTACACACACAGGATAGTTGGAAAATTTTGAACTGAAATAAAAGTCAAAATGTTTCCTCAATACTGTAATTACAAATAGTAGAATATAAATACCCAGTTTAGCCATCATTTTATATAAGTGAGTCACTGAACCAATATTTGATCAGTTTTAAGTAAAAAGAACCCTTGACTAACTCAAGAATTAGGGATGTTACAATTCTCTATTCTGAATAATTTCAGGCAAGTCATATAAATGTCTCGGAAACTCCAGTATCCCATAGATACATTTACACATTTTCTACTCACTTAGGAGCACATAAGATCAATGAAATTGTTTTTAACAAGAGCTATAAGTTCTGACTTATTTGTAAAGGTAAAAAATTATATCCAAATTGCCCCACATTAGTGAAATGGTTAAGCAAACAATGGCACATATTATCAAGGTATGATAATACACAGCTACTAAAATTAGAATCATGCAAAGTATTTAGATACAAAGGCATGCGTAAACCAAAGAATGCAAAGTGAAAAATAGATCCCAAAGTAGTATGTGTATGGGTTCTGATTGTAGCTACATGACAATGAATGTCTAACATTGATAAAAACTGAGAGTAAATTTCAGATAATATTTTATCTCCTCTGGGTTCTTCTTCCTAAAATGTTAAATGTATAACAGAAAACAAATTGCTATGAGAGGACCTCATTTGGGCTAAGATACCTCCCTAATCTCATATTCATTTGGGGCAGTAGAGAAGACGTTATGGGGGGCAGGGAGTATGGGTCAGACAGCCAAGCCTAAGGTGAGAGGAAATGGCCTTTCTGAGGCCACCAACCTCCCCCATTCACAGACCAGAGAAACTCTGAAATGATGGAAGAGGAAAAATGCCACCAATAAAGACTTAGTCAAAGGAAGAAATTAGGCAACTTGTTTCTACCACCAAACCTTTTAGCTCTTTTCAACAAAAACACTTTAATATTTGAAAAATCTAAGCACATTAAAGCAATTCCATTCACATCAAGACAGCTCTGAATTCACCTTCCCCTATGAAACATAATATCCCATTCTTAATAACTGTTAACCACTTTTTTCCTCATTCAGATCCTAGGCATTATAATTCAAAATATAAGAAAAATGTTCTACATGAGATATATTATAAATATTATAGATTTGCTAGTAAAAAAAATATAACTACACTAGAGATAATATTCCTAGAGGCCTGTTTCAATGGTGGCATGGTAGAATAGAATTCACCTAACGTGCTGTGACATTGTCAGACCCAATTCATACTTTGTGCACAAGTTAGATTTTGGTAGACACAGCTGGCTTCTCACATAACTAACTGAAGTTAATAAACCATAATAATAAAAAATTTATGTGTTACTATTTTTGGTTAAGGTATCGAAACCATATTCATCATCGTTAAATCCCCCTTGATCGATAAATAAATTCCAACCAATGTTTTAGGCAATATTTTTTGTAAAAAACCATAGGCAGTGGTAGCACAAAGAAATAGGAGAATAATAGTTATTGGAATAATTTTAAATGAAAGGGCAAGAATTTTGAATAAGATATAAGTAAGAGTCTTAAAGAGGGTATTTTGTAAGCTGCAATCCTAAATAAAAGAATTCCAATGTTTTCTTTCAAATCAATATTATGCATTCATTGGGTGAATATTTGTTGAGTTTATATTATATGCCAAGTACTGTTGCTCTGAAAATAAGCAACAAGGTCCCTGCCTGCTTTGTAGAAGTAACAACCCAGCAGGAAGCAATATTTATTGAACAATTAACTATAAATGTAAAAAAAAAAAAGATACAAGGTGCTCTATGACTAAAAGAGCATGAAAAAAATCAAGTTCTAAGTCAGTTTTGAGCATTAGGAAGGGTTACCCCCAAGGAATTTTAGGTTATTTCTGTTTCCTCTCTTTCTTTTCAGCTACCTCTGCAATCCTTATGACGGAGCAGGCTTTATCTCAGCAACTTTACCAAATCCCCATCGTAGTGAAGGACAGCTATAACAGAGTGTGTGACTCGTCACAGATCGTGCAGTTATATGCCTGTGATTGTGACACCGACCACGTGTGCTTGGACTCTAGTCTCACCGGAATCCATACAGGGGACATAACTGTCACCGAAGACCAAACCGAGGTTTCAAATGTTGGTCTTGGACCAGCAGCAATCGGCATGATGTCTATGGGCGGCCTAATGCTGCTTAGTAAGTACTGAATTAAATTATTCTTTTCAGGACTTCTTCAAAATAGGACTGTAGCCGGGCCCACTGGAATGGCTAAGTGCATTGAGCCCTTTCTTTCTGGTATCTATAGCACCCTTTGAGTGGCCTTGGAAATACACGATGGGACTGATAAGGGTATGTACTTAATTCATAATGATAACTAAGAAGGTCTAGGGTTAGTGAGGGTCCTACAGATGGGAAACACATGTGAATCACTAAGTATAACATAGAACAGCACAGGCCGGGCACGGTGGCTCACGCCTGTAATCCTACCACTCTGGGAGACCGAGGCGGGCAGATTGCTCGAGGTCAGGAGTTCAAAACCAGCCTGAGCGAGACCCCGTCTCTACTAAAAATGAAGAATTAATCGGACTAAAATATATATTCAAAAAGTTAGCCGGGCATGGTGGTGCATGCCTGTAGTCCCAGCTACTCAGGAGGCTGAGGCAGGAGGATTGCTTGAGCCCAGGAGTTTGAGGTTGCTGTGAGCTAGGCTGACGCCACGGCACTCACTCTAGCCTAGGCAACAAAGTAGACTCTGACTCAAAAAATAAAAATAAATTGCATAGACAGCACAAAATGAATGTTAGGAATTTATCGAAGTGCTCCAAGTGTAGAGAGCATAAGTATTATGTCAAGTGGAAAGTTAGGATCTTTGCAGAGGTAATGGATTTGGAGGTGAGTCTGAAAGCTGAGGATTTTTAGAAAGAGGATGGAGTGTGGGGATATTGTAAAGCACCTAGGACAAAGGAGAGTAACAAACAACAGGGGAGAGGATGGAAAGGCACAAGCATACTCAGGAAGTGTAGAAGCTAAAGTAGGCTGAAGGCCAGCGTGGAGGAATGTTCATGATAATACTAGTCCACAGGCATGGAAGGGTCAATGAGGACTTGTGAGCTCAGGTGACCTGCTCACTCTAATAGTAGGAAGCAAGAAGAACCTGAAAGGGGATTAGCTCTCTGCTAGACCAGTGTATGAACTGAAGCCATGTCACAAGAATGGCAAGGTCCCCAACAGATTTCAAAAAGGGTCCTCCTCTCTTACACTATTTTCTTTAACATACAGATCCTCAAAGGGAGATACTTCATGCAGGTTCTCTTGCAATACTTAGTTTCATAGAGATCAAAAACTGGATTCTAAACTTGAAATTAAACTCATCAAACTATATTTTCAATGATTTAATGGTTGAGCACAAATTAACATTATCATTAAGACGTAAAAAAACTGTTTGGGGGTGCTCTTGCTTAATAATGTTAGCTTTCAAGGATACACACAGATCATGAGTGATTCTCAAAATGATATTAGAGATATATTTCCCAGAATATGATTCTAAGCAATGGAGTGAATGTGTCAGCTAATATTTAAGTCAGTGATTTCGCCCAGCCGTACATAGAAGAATTATTGGAAGTCTTTAAAATTATTCATGCTGGGTCTACTCAAAATGAGACCCAAGTATTATGTTTTAAGCCTTCTGGTGAGGTATGTGCCTTTTATTTTAAAACCAGTATCAGCTGCATTTCACCAGACTAGCTCTAAGAATCATGACCTTCCGACCCAGCCAAAGAAGCTGAGAGTTGTTAAACTGATTGTGGAATAGGCAAGGAATATCCTTAGGAACTTGTTTTTTTAATGGAGACCATATATTTCAGGGAGAAGCTGTGATGGTGACAGAGTCTTAGCCCAAACCTTTTTCCCAAAGGAACTTCAATTAAGACTTCTGCTATTAGCTCCAAATGAGATTATGCTATAGTATTGTGTTTGTCATATGCTAAACATTTGTTTAGTCTAAGCCTTCTAAGAAAAGGTATAGACATAAATTTTTAAAATTAAAAAAAAATTATATTAGATACAGCTTCTATTAGTAGAGTCAGACCCAAAATGCGTACTCCAGCACACATCTAATTCAGCGGAAAACTAAACAGGTTGGAACGGTGGCTGGACTCCGTCAGTCTAGTCTATTTCT